TGAGAAACACACAGGCAGTGCTCAAGGTATGGCACAACTAAGTGTGTGCTGACTGGTTTTTGCCACAGCTAAAAATTTTCCTGTGCTACAACTATATTAGTTCTATACTGTTGTGCAAATAAGAAACAGGAAAATAGGAAAAGTACACCTCACAGTCTGTCTTGTCTCTCTTACCAGGATACCCAGATACACTTGGACGATGCTCTCAGGACACAGGAGGACCTGAAGGAGCAGGTGGCCATGGTGGAGCGCAGAGCAAATCTGCTGCAGGCAGAAGTTGAGGAGCTACGGGCAGCCCTGGAGCAGACGGAGCGTTCGAGGAAAGTGGCTGAGCAGGAGCTTCTGGATGCCACCGAACCTGTGCAGCTCCTCCATACCCAGGTCAGTGTGTAAATATGTTTAGTATTTATACTTTTGCTCCATTCATATAAAATAAATACTGACTGGCTGATCTCTAACAGTATTTTGTAAAATGCATTGTAATTTTCACCGTATGGATAAAGAACGCTAAAAGTGACTTTTCAGCTGCAGATATATATTGTGACTTTCTCTAGACTACACTGCATATATCTGAACAGTAATAAACTCAGGGCGAAATGTGAGGTTCTTACTCTACAACTTAAGTGAGTTCAAGAGCTTTCACATTTATATTTGAGACTGTAAAGTCAAACTGAGGTTGATCATTAACAAAATATGAATACACTAACACTGTCATTAACATAATTTAACAATGTAATTTTACGTATTCTATAGTACCCTTTAACATTTTTACTGCCACTAGGCTGAAAATGGTAAGGGAAGTTTATGTCTTTTTTTTTTCATAATTCTAAATTCCTCTCTGTTGACTGAGAAACTTTGAGGAAAGACTTTACAGAGGATGTTCTTGAAATACTGAAGCATATCACAGCTGGGAAACTAGCAGTTACCACAGCAACTCCTTTAGAACAGAATCCCATTTGACCTGATGGCACATTACATATTAAAAAACATCTATGCAATGGCCTTGACATTACATTGCAAGCAACATAACTGTGATGTTGATGCTGTTCAACAGAACACCAGCTTGATCAACACCAAGAAGAAGCTGGAAACAGACATTGCCCAAATTCAGGGTGAGATGGAAGATACGATCCAGGAAGCCCGCAATGCTGAAGAGAAGGCCAAGAAGGCCATCACAGATGTGAGTCGGGGGCTCCTTTTGCTGCTGATGGTGGATGTATTCTCCCCCCAACTGCCTCCAGCCCCAAAATGGCTTTGGCCCCTTGCTCTCTCCAGGCAGCCATGATGGCAGAAGAGCTGAAGAAGGAGCAGGACACCAGCGCCCACCTGGAGAGGATGAAGAAGAACCTGGACCAGACAGTGAAGGACCTGCAGCACCGTCTGGATGAAGCCGAACAGTTGGCTCTGAAGGGAGGCAAGAAGCAAATCCAGAAGCTGGAGGCCAGAGTGCGTAGGGCTGGTATTTGTGCATGTGAGTGAGCACGTACCCTGCAGAGGTACCGGGGAAGCTCCAAAGACGGGCTTCTCATTGCAGGTGCGGGAGTTGGAGGGGGAGGTTGATGCTGAGCAGAAGCGCAGCGCTGAAGCCGTGAAGGGTGTGCGCAAGTACGAGAGGAGGGTGAAGGAGCTGACCACTCTTTCTTCCAGGAAATCAAAATGTTGGCACATTACCTTCCAGAGGGACTTCTTTCTATACCTCAGTCAGTGGCAGTTAACAGGATTATGACCTCTGTCCTCTGGACAGCAATGTTCCTTAAGAAATGTTGCTCCCTCTGTTTCACATTCATGAACTTTAGAGAAAGGAGCAAACGAGGGTTTTTATTACTTGCCATCTCTGTAGTCTGAGGAAGACCGGAAGAATGTTCTCAGGCTCCAGGATCTAGTGGACAAGCTGCAAATGAAAGTGAAGTCCTACAAGAGGCAAGCTGAGGAGGCTGTAAGTACCACACCAACCAAGACCAGACTTCCTTCTGATGTAGGTGGAATTCTGTTTTGGTGTTTTCTTCTGTCCAACTTTTTGAAACTTTGACTGTTTTGATGCACTTGCTGCTACAAGACAACGGGGAATGTAAAAGTAAAAATATCTGGTTTGGGGAGGAAGTATGTTTCCCTATCTCTATTTGTTTTGCTCCAAGCCTCACTTCCTGCCTCTATTTCTTCCTCCCTACTCTATTCTGGGTGTCAGAAGCAGCTGGTAGTCTGTCTATTCAGGACTCTTCCATGACCTCTGCCTAGACTGTGCTATGTGTAATGTGGCCATGGCGTTTTTGACACTCTGATGTTCTTTTCTCTTTTGGCACACTTAACACTCTGAGCAGTTACTTATCTTGGTTTTGCACCTGCCCTGCTTGCCCAACTGTGGCATTTAAATTTTTGTTTGCCCAGTTTTCAGATATTAAATGTCCACATGCTGCCTGTTGTATTCACAAATCCCTCTCCCCGCACAGGAGGAGCTGTCCAATGTCAACCTCTCCAAATTCCGCAAGATCCAGCACGATCTGGAGGAAGCCGAGGAGCGGGCTGACATTGCCGAGTCACAGGTCAACAAGCTCCGAGCGAAGAGCCGGGAGTTTCACAAAAAGATAGAAGAGGAGGAATGAGGATCCCAAGGCTAAAAAGTGACCTGAGACATGCATAAAATGTAAATCTATGTGTTGCTTTCTTCTGTAATTATAATTTATATCTATGTAATAAAAACAGTAGAGACCTTTGTATATGAACAGTGATTAGCATGCTTTATTTATTCTGGCATTCATTATTTTTGGAGTACAGGTACACAGTTCATGTTCACATTTTAAAGTATATTAAACAGCAAAAAATTTTCACATTTGCATTTTTAAAAATGCATGAGGAATTATAACAATTATATGTATTGTCTATTCATCTTGCAATGAGAAGTATGCATTTCTTTGATAGATTAAGAATACATTTGTTCAAGTTATTTTGATGAATTCTTAGCAAAAGGTAAAAGAAAAGGAAAAGAGATTCCTGTAACTTTTTTTTTTAAGTTGTATATTATTTTTGTTAATTGAGAAATGTTGTTTATTTGGTTAGGCTTAAGGAGATGAGAAGCTGAAATTTTTACTCTGATTCAACAGACTGAAGTTCACTCCAAGCATTGACAAGGAGTCAAACCAATGTGGTGAGATAGTGGCATGAAGGGATAGCCTCACTCTCTTTCTCTGAAACTATTTTATTTCATACGTAGCACAAAATGATAGCCATTTCACAGATGGGGAGAGTGATAGGATTCCACCATTAAAAGACTATGGAAGAAAGAATAGCTAAGGCTGCAGACTCCTTGGCACAGGTAAAGATGAGTATTTTATAGACAACTGAAAGATAATTGAACATATATTAAGACTGACAAAGGTGATGAAATGTTTTCTTTTTTTATTATAGATACAATAGAATGTAAAGGAGTAACGTCATACATAAAAAGAACAAGTTTAAGTAAAAGTAACTTTGAAGAATGATAACAGTTTCTACTGGGGTAATAGTAGGTAATAGTAAATCAGGAAAGTCTGCTACACTTACCAGAGATTGGATTTGAATATGGATAAGTATTTCTATACCATAAAAAAGAGAAATAATTCTGGAAATTGTATTCTCATGTTGAGAACAGTCATACAGACAGAAGATCAAACACAATCATGGGGGTGTCCAGGTTTCAGCAGAGATAGAGATAATTTCCTTCATAGAAGCTAGTGTGAGACTCTGTTTTGGATTTGGGATTAGAAAATGTTGATAACGTGCTTTGTTTCGAGTTGTTGCTAGGCAGTCAAGGACTTCTCATGCTGGCCTGCCAGCGAGCAGGCTGGGAGTGCACGGGAAGCTGGGAGGGGGCACGGCCAGGACAGCTGACCCAGGCTGGCCAAAGAGATATTCCGTAACATATGATGTCATGCTCAGTATATAAAGTTGGGATGAAGAAGAAGGAGGAGTGGTGGGACATTCGGAGTTACGGCGTCTGTCTTCCCAAGAAACCATTATGTGTGACGGAGCCCTGCTGTCCTGGAGATGGCTGAACTCCTGCCTGCCCATGGGGAGTAGTGAATTAATTCCTTGTTTTACTCTGCTTGCGTCCATGGCTTTTGTTTTACCTATTAAACTGTCTTTATCCTCAGGCCCCTCATCTGTTTTTCACACTGCATTGCCATTTATTTCACAAGCTCCTTAGAGGACTAAAGAGTGTCTTAGAATTGGTTGACATTTGATTCAGCCATCACAGTATATTTAATCTATTAATAATTTGAGTCAGCCCCCCTCTATCTTTTTAGGAGTCTTTACTCTCTCTATTGCAGAACCATCCAAGAATGGGCCTAAGAAACAGTGGTTATACCAGTGTCCACAACTATAGCAAAAATATAGCTGCCTCCTCATAGATGAGGAGTGACATGGCAGTTACTGTTTCTGTTAATCATTCACTTCCAGATGAATACACCAGCCAAGCAAGGTCTGCCTGTCCTTACTCAGGTCCACCAGCTCTCCTGCCTTCTCTCTCCCCTTCTCTCATCGCCCCTTCTGTTCGCCTTCTCTGCCCACAGGTTAACTCTCTTGCCTATTGTCATTATCAACATACGAGGCTTGTTAATTTTCCTAAGAACAATTTATTAGCCCAAAATGTAATACTTTGCATCAAGCTGAACTAGACATTCAACATTTACATGTTGATTGCAAAGACAACACAAAGTACAGCATTAATTGTGTAAGACGTCTAACTACTGATCACACTTTGCAGATGGGCAAGTAAATTAGATGGTTTGGGAATACATTCAATGTGTCTAAGAGCTCTGGTAAATTAGAATTGAAGCTGTATAGGGACTCCTGTTACTGCTAAATAAATATGTTTTTGCCAAGCCACAGAGAAAGAGTGTGAGACTGACTTGGTTGGTATTTTTGGTGTATGTGACAAGCTTTAGCAGCTACCTCAAACATGCTGTTTATTTAAAGCAAGTGCTAAACATCTCTGTCCATCCTGCCAGAATTGCCAATCCCTAGCTGACCTTCAGGTGTCCTTTTTGGATATCTTTTCTAACCCTGCAGACGGCCTTCAAGTGCTGTAAAAAAACTCTGACTTCAAATGTTAAGGATTCTTAATAAAGCATGTAAATAACATCTGGGCAGCAGAAGACAGCTGGAGTTCGGAAGGAACACTACTCCATCCATTTTAGAAGGAGACCCACCGTAGCTGAGCATCTCTGGTGCTTTTAGTGCCCCCTTGAACCCTTTGGGTTATTGCGGCACCCTTTGTACGAGCAGCACCCATTTCCCTGTGACACTGGTAATGTTAAACACAACCCAACTGCGGTGAGAAGCATCATCATCCATCACAGGATTTGTAAGTGTACTAGCATATGCCCTGCTATTCTAAGGGTTCGTCAGAGACTTCCATTAATACACCAGGTTTTGGTACCAGCCACATTTCAGAAAGAGTGGCAGGAGGTGAACAAGCTGTTCTGCTAATGCACTTACTTGTTTGGCCGTGCACCAAGAGAGAGATTGTTTTTATTTCCCCCTATAGCGGCTCACCTACGTCCAGCTCCTCTACCACAAAAGCAGGGCATGGGAGGAGAGCTGTGGGAGGCAGGCAGCTAGTGGTCCAGTGCAGCAGGAGAGACGTGAAGACTCCGTCAGTGCCTCACGCTGCCCTCTTCTGTGGGGCAATGGCCACCGCCCTGGTTGCCTCTTGAGGGCAGGGGCTCTGCTAGGGCAAGTGTGCAGGGAGGTAGGCCAGTGAATGCCAGCTACAAACTGGTTTTAAAACCTCTCTTGCTGGTCTGTTCAGCTCTCTGGGAATTTCAATAGTTCCCTTTCTTTTTTCACTATTTTCTCAGCCTTGGTCACAGCGTGCTGTGCTCCTGATGCCTCACATCTCATTGCCTGCCTGAGCTCTGGCCTGATCTCCTCACTCATGACACAGTCTGCCACAGGCTTGGGCAGGCCAAGGGCCCCACTGGCCAGCTCAGGCCCCTGCTAATGTTAGGCCTGTCCTCACGGCAGTGCTGCACAGCAGCATGGATGCTGGTTACACTGCTGGAGGCCCACAGACCATCCACACTGCAGCCCCTGCCTCTGAGGTCTTCTGCTTAGACGTGGAGCCTGTCCAGGTTGGCTGCAACCTCTGCATCAGGGCAGCAGGATGAGGGAGGAGAGCATGGGGTGAACCTGTGAGAGGTAGGGGATGAAGAAGAACATTGTGGCATGACACTGTTAGTCCTTTCTTCTACTGGTTGGAAATGACATAGTACTGGTGACAGTAGATAGGAAAGTGTCAGTGACATCAATAGACACCCAGACAACTTCTGGAGTATATCTAAAATGAGAAATAATTTATTTTGTCTTTTATATGCATTTATTCTTTTTTCTGGGATGTATCATATGTAAGCTAGTCTTTATGCCCTTTCAGTTTGTAGTAGTTTGTTTAGTGAATGTTCAACAGCAATTAGTTGCAATTTCTCTCTGGCTCATGTTTATCAGGGATTACAATTTATCATTGTTGACTTCTTGGAATGCTGCATTGTTAGCCCAAACTGAACATGGTATAAAGGTAAAGCATGACTAGTTATAATACAAAGGAGAAATTTTTATTGGCATAGTATTTGCCATTATGCTCAATAAGCAAAACTTGTCCTTTATAAGTGCCTCAAACTTTTCCCTGTTGAAGAAGCCACCACCTTTCAACAGGTCGGAGAGCTGGCTGAAGAGGCTGCTCAGGGTTCCTATTTCACTGCAGCCTCTCTAGAAGGTTTTATAGGTTCCTCTGTGCTCAGACAACTGCTGCTGCCCCTTTCTCAAGTGGCAGTGCAGCAATTTTAGCTTCAGTAACTGTTGCCAGTGTGGACACCCTCAGAATGAATAAAGGAGCAAAACGAGCAGGAATTGGCCACAGGGAGAGAGGAATTTCAGTGATGGACAGGTGTGCAATAGTAAGTTTGGGTTTGTTACATGTGCGGGTGAGATTCAATTCTAAACTCAAATATCCACATTTAGTCACCTCCATGACTAAATTAATATGTAGGTGAGTGAGCTGAATATCTAAATTCCCATTACAGACAATACTATCAGAGCCAAGCAAATGTTTCGGTTCACACTAAGGTAGACAACCACATTAGGATAACTGAATCATTCTCTAGACTCCGTTAGCTCAAGCTCCATCAATGATAACAGGATCTCAGACACCTAGTTCACAGGTATGAGAGCATGTCTGCATATAGTACATTGTGAAGTGTTGTTGTTGATGGAAGACTTGAGCAAATGGGGAGTGCATGTATATAGTAGGAGGGCTAGACTTGTACATGTAGTAGGGAGGGATTTGCTAGAGAAGGGGAGGCCCTTATAGTTGGCAAAAAGATGTTAAAAGTCCTTTTGCAGTTCTTCAAAAAGTTATGGATCATTCTTTTGCTGTTTGAAAAAATCGTGCAAATAAAGGCTTTTAGCCAACTGTCAGCTTTATACTAGTATTACATATGACTGTGGGAAAACCATGTTAATCCAGGTCAAAACTGCATGCACCAGCAAAATGAGACAATAGACAGAGTCATTGAAACACCTGAAATTCACAATGAATTCCAGTTTTCAGACAATGTAATTGCATTAA